CCCTCCTTCTATCTGCCCTACCTTTTCTTTCCCCTTTTCCCTCCTACTGCCTGTAGGGCATGTAGATTTCCATCCCTAACTGATTATGTTTTTCCCTTCTTGAGTCAAATCTGATGTCTCTCAGAGTTGTTGTATGGATTAAATGAGATAACATTTGTAAAGCACTTAACCCAGCAAATGGTGCATCCTGAATGTTTAATGAATGGTTGTTTCCTTTATTCCTAGAGCTGAGCCTTCAAGACAGCATTATAGGGCGCAGAGTTTTAGTGAAACTTTCCCAGGTCACCTCCTATCACTAACAGTGACAAAGCCTGACACATCATCACTTCCTCCTCCCTTTTCCATCACAGTCATTTCAAAACCATGTCTGATTGGTTATTCTCTATAAAATCTATGAAATCTCTTCCTTCTTTCCTACATTTCATAGTAGATAGAGTAATGACTTTGAGTCCAGAAGAAATATGTGTGTGTTTATGTATGTATCTATGTATGTATGTATGTATGTATGTATGTATGTATGTATGTATGTATGTATGTATGCATAAGACAATAGCTCTCATGGGAGAAGCTACTGTCTTTTCTATCTCTCTCTTCAGCACTTGTCATTTTTTTTGCACCAAGTGCGAACTAAATATTTGTTTGATTATTATTTGTTTATATATGCATGCATGCATACATTCATTCATTTATTTTTCTACTTACTTTACTAAGAATTTCAGAGAACCATGTTCCCATCCCGCAGGACATTCCTAATCCCTTCCTTCACCTCTTAGGAACAGTCTCTCTGAGCTCAGTAAGCTGTAGCTAAACCAAATCACTGTCTCTGGCCAAAGTTCTGAAGCTAACTTTGCCAACTGCCTCTGGTTGATCCTTGGACAGTAGTCATGTCATAATCCATTGCTTTGCCTAGGCATACAGACTTTCCATTTGGGGGCTGTTGAGAGTCCAGGGGCACTGATATATAGTGAGATACCCAAGACATTGAGAGAGAAATCCAAATTAAGGACAATTTTATCCCATCTTTATTTTATTTCCTTTTTCTTCTGGAGGATATATAAATTATTCCTGGCATCTACATGAGGTATACACACACACACATACACACACACACACACACACACACACACACACGCACACACACACACATATATATATATATATATATATATATATATATATATATATATATATATATATATATATATATATACATTTTAAATGTCACTCTGCACATCAGAAATTTTAATTATTTTAAGCCCTATTGAATCTCTTCTATTTCACCCAATGTTTAAACAATATAGTCATTTCTTGGAAATCATTACATTTTCTTTTTAAAAATGAATGAAAGGGCTTATGTTGGAAGATTTGGATTACATCATAAACCTAAAGAAATCAGGTGTTAAGGTGCTAATGACCTGTATTTAACTTGCGGTTGTCCCTTTTGTTTTACATTGTACACAGTGGACATATTATAGTAGCATTCTTGGAGAAGGTGAAGCTGTGGCCCGAACTCCATACCTGCAGCTAGAAATGGCAGCCCATAATTTTCAATTCATTTCAGATTCTGGGAGCTCTCTTCTTTGATATCCTTGGGAACTCAGGGGGCAGCTAGATTTGTAAAGCATGTTATATTTAGTATTTGATGGCTAATTAATCACATCAGAAGTTCTTTTTTTGATCATGAAAAATGAATAATAATGATCCTAAATATGATTTATTTAGCATATAACTGGCCTTTATAAGTGCCAGTCAACTTGTAAAACATTGTCACACTTAAAATGCTAACAAATATAATTTAAAGCATTTCAAAGCATCTTCTCCATAAATTTGGCTTCTCCAAAATTTAATATTATTTGTTTACATTTTAATTACTCATATTGCTAGTTTTTTTAATGAAATTACAGCTTGTGCTCACACACATATATACACACACATACATACACACACATGTATATATATACATATACATGCACATATACATACACACAGAGTATCATGGCACTCACCTATAATCTCTGTTACTGATGAATCACTTGTGTTCTGGAGTTCTGAACTGCAATGGATTGAGGTAATTAGGTTTAGATTAGATAAGGGGCTGTTTGGCACCATAAAATCCCTTGTAGCTGCCATGCTGCCAAAGGATGTGCTAAGTGGTGCAGGCTGGAAATGGATCAGTTCAAAGTTGCTGGCTGGATTATTAGTGGGTTGAGTGACTGGCACACTTTTAGTTTGGTTAAAAGACCCAGGAGGAAGAGAGGAGAGAGAGAGAGAGAGAGAGAGAGAGAGAGAGAGAGAGAGAGAGAGAGACAGAGAGACAGAGAGAGAGAGAGAGAGAGAGAGAGAGAGAGAGAGAGAGAGAGAGAGAGAGAGAGAGAGAGAGAGAGAGAGAGAGTGTGTGAGAGAGAGAGAGAGCGAGAGAGAGAGAAAGAGAGAGAGAGAGAGAGATGCTACATGTTGTGATTAGGTGCATTGTATTGTAACTGAAAGACCATTGGGATTTGTGATGGGAAGATCAGGGTTCAATTCTCACTTCTGTTCCTTTAGCACCTTTGTGAACTTGGGCAATACATTTCATTTCAGTTGCACAGCTGCCTCACCTATAAAAGAAAAATAAAATGATGTGAAGCCCTATACTCCTTTCCAGCTCTAAATCCTGTGGGATAAACCAAAGATAACAGACTCATCTAGCCCACATGAAATAATGGTTGGAAAGGCAAAGCTTCACTTTGGTCCACACTTGGACAATAGAGGAAAGTCAGCAAAGTGTTAAAGTGACTGTGACCATAACCTTAACAGAGGGAAACAGACTAAATAAGTTTGGGTAGGTAGAATGAATCCAGCATATGGAATGTCAATCAAGAAATGTAGAGTTTAAATTTGTTGGAACAGGAAATCATTGGAAAAAATAAGAATGTCTACCTGGACCAACATAGTCATATTGCACAGTAGAGTGATGCTCAGCTGATTGGATTACAGTTCATTGTGTGTATGTGTATCATGGGGGAGGGATGGCACAGACGTTAAGTGGCAGGTGTTAATGGTTCAGCATCAGCTTGGTAGGAGGTCTGCAGTGGAATGCCCCAGGGATCTATGCTTAACTTCTTCTCTTTAACACAATAGTTGAAAAAAATGAAATGAAGAAGAACGAAGTGAACAGAACCAAAAGGACATTGTATATGGCAGTAGCAATGTTTTTAGAATGACTTTGAGCAACTGAGTTGTTTAGACTATTATGAATACACAAATTAAAAATAATGGACACTATCTGCATCCAGAGAAAAAACTGCTAAATAGAAGTAAGTCTAGAATAATTAGATAGATAGATAGTCTGTGAATGTGTGTATGTGTATGTGTGTGTATATATGTGTGTGTGTGTATATACATATATGTATATGTTTATATATATATGTCTGCATGTACACACACACCTATTTGTATATAATGGTTGCCATCTCTGGTTGTTGGGGAAAGAAAAAAGGAAAAAAAAAGAAATGTACGTGTGTCTTATATTTGAAGGGAATAGCAAGTTGCAGAAGGTAGATTTGCACTTTTGTGTGCAATAATATTTTTTATTGTACTATGTCATGGAAATACTTGTTTTGTTCTGTTAATTGAAAATCACACACACACACACACACACACACATATATATATATATATATATATAAAAATTTTAAAAAAGAAATAAGTCAACAAGCCTAAGATAATAGAGTCGTGGTTAGATAGCAGTTTGTCTAAGTGAAAGAGCTCTGCTCCAAGGTGCCCTTTACCTGCTTTTATAGGATCCCTTCTATCTCTGCCATACTATGTCCTAAGGTCCTCCCTTTGAATCTTCCTTGGTTCTGACATTCTGTGATTCATAGGCCTTTCCAGTGGCACTGCTGTTCTTTGTTCTAAAGTCCTTCACTGCTCTAATGTTCTCTGTTTTAAGATCCCTTCTGCTTCTGTCCTAAGATCCTTCCAATCTCTGACATTCTGTATTCTAAGGTCCTTTCTAATGGTTCTGATATATTGTAGTGTCCCAACCAGCCTGTACATTGTATGGAATAAGAAATAAGTGATATCAAAGATGAACACAATGGTCCATTACAAGCTAAGCTTACTGGAATGAGTCACAACATGAAAATCGGGGCTTTCCACATCTTTTGTAAAAGAAAAAAATCCCATTATTTAGAGGGTTCCTATTGGGATTCTTATCACTTATTTCCGTTAAAACTTCTGACATTGTAAGAGAGGAATTCTATTCTCAATTAATCACAGGAGGACCAAATATCTTAGCTGAAAGAATCAGATACACCCACATGAGTCTCTTGGGGGAAGAAGGAGAAGGGATAGGAGAGGGGGAGAAAAACTCTGTGCTTCCATTGTTTATTCCATTCCATTAAGAGTGAGACTCTGAATCAACTTTCTCTTCACCTCTGTTCTGATCCCCTGCTTTTCCTAAGCTCAATATTGGATTGATTATTATTTTTATACATAAGCCCAGAGGAGAATCTGATTCATCGAGCCAATCTTGAGATGTTTCCTGTGTACGCTTTCCCATCTGCTTTGATCCAATTTTCTAAATACTTTGATCTTCTCAAGTTGATGAAGCAGTTGTTCTCACCTGGTTTACACTTTTAGTTGGTTTATTGATTGATACCTCCAGGTATCTGGACCATCTGTGAGTCATTAGGATAGAGTACTTCCCCTTACACTACATTTTTCTTCACTCCTCGCATCCAGTAGAGGATAGATTTCCAAATGCAATTAAAAAATAAAATTTTCAATTACTTGCCAAGCAAAAATATTTGCCGTAAGACGCTACTGGTTTATGAGGTTTCCTGACTGCAAAACTTCAAATGTACATTTTTGAGAGAGCAGAGAAGCAGTGGAGGGGGGGATGGAATTGAAAACTTTGGTAATTTATAGACGTGTTGATAATTGAAAACAATTTCAAAGAGAAGACAAAGCATGTCTAAAATTATAATATAATTCAGTTGGAAAAATTATTTCATTTCATGTAATTTTTCTGCAATACATCTGTTGTATGGAACAATGAAAATGTGTACTTCACTCATGGTGGTATTCTTAATTACTTTCGGGTAGAGAATTTGTCAAATTTTTAAAAATAAAAAAAAAATGATCATGCTGGACTTAACATCTGAAGAACTGGATGGCTTCATCATTTATTAACTGTGTGACTGGAGGCATGTTTCTTCTTCTTTTTGAGACTAAGAAAGAGAGACTCACTTTTAAATTCTGAGCAACAAGCCTGGATCCCAGGGTTGGACATATCATCAAGTGAGATGATGGGAAGATGCTTGGGATGGTGGCTTGAGCACCATCTCTCAAGTCAGATGACTTTAGGGAAGTCACTTAACCTCGGGGGGAGTCATTTTCTTCCTTCGCTGGATCAGATGATCTTTAAATTCCTTCCACTTCTACCCCTCTGAGCCCTTGTTCTTTTATGTGTTTCCTTTGTCACAGTTAAGCACTATACAAATGTGAGCTATTACTCTTCTGTCATCAGTGAAAAATCTGTTAAGAGATAAAGAAATCAACTTTCATTTGCTTTTTCGAGTCCTTGTTCATATGTTACCTGGGAGCTATGTTGGCTCATCTTTTCTGACATTTTTTTGTAGCAAATTTGGCCCCAGTGAAGTTGTAAACATCACAGCAATGACAACATCATCTCTAATAGAAGAATGCTATGGAATGAATTGCACATCATATTCGGTTTTTCCTAACCCTTATTTTCACTTGAGAATGCCATCATATTTCCACTGATCTTTGAAGAAATGTTCCTTCTTTAGTGATGACAAGAAGTGTAGTTCGTTGAAGGTATTGTCACTGTTCAGGCATTTCCATCATGTCCAACTCTTCATGACTCCATTTGGGGTTTTCTTGGCAAAGATACTTGGAATAGTTTTCCATTTCCTTCTCCAGCTCATTTTATAGATTAGTTAACTGAGGCAAAGATGGTTAAGTGACTTGCCCAAAGTCATATAGCTAGTAAATGAGGCTGGATTTGAACTCAGAAAGATGAGTTTTCCTGACTCCAGACTTGGCATTCTATCCAGGGCACTAGTTAACAGTGGGTTGTGGGGAAAAAAATGATGCATGTTTGAGTTTTGTTTCTTACTAACTGCATGACCTTGGGCACAGAAATTAAGCTCCCTTTGCCTGGTTTCTCATGTATAAAATGGATTTAATAATACTCATGGGCAGCTAGGTGGTGGATAGAGCTTGGAACCAGAAAGATTCGTCTTCATGAATTCAAATCTGGCCTTGGATACTTGGTAGCTGTGTGACACTGGGCAAAGCACTTCACCTGTTTGCTTCAGTTCCTAAAATGAGCTGGAGAAGGAAATGGCAAACCACTCCAGTATCGTTGGCTAGAAAACCCCAAATAGGGTCGCAGAGAATTGGACATGACTGAAAAACAACTTAACAGCAAAGATAATATTCACACTACATGGCCAATTTGTGGAAAGCACTTTGTTAATTGCCAAATGCCATGGAGGAACAGCAATGATTCTTATTGTAACTGTTTTGCAAGGGTTTAGGAATTTATCTATTCACAAATTTAGAGGATATTTTTGCTGTTGTTGTTGTTAATGGAGGGCTTCTTCTATGTATGATACAGTGATACATAAAAAAATTTGAGAGATACAATTTCTCAGTAATTAATCATTTTATTAATCATGATGGCTTGTAATTAATAAAAGGGGTAAGTGACACTCTAGAATACCAAAGAGCCCTCATGGAATCCACTCAACACTTATATGTCCTTGGAAGAGTGGGTGTTCTAGGGGATAGCAATTATCTCTAATTGGTTAAAAATTAATGAGAAGAATGAATATTATAATGAGAGGTGGGTGGACCTATTCTAATGACAGACTAGGAAAATGTGACTTTGATTACGTCTTTTACTTCCAAATCATCTCCAGCCTTGGGTAATTTAGTCAAAGAATCTGCCCCCCTGCCTAAACTTGCCTGAGTAGAACACAATGGGTTGGAATTTACTTTACCTTAGATTAAATTCTTTGTAAGGTTTTTCTAGTTGGGTGAGTCAGCAACTCCACCTAGATAAGATAGTCTAGGTCAGGGATCTCTCCAATAATTTGTTATTTAATAATCATTTTTCTCAATACATTAAGAGGGGAGACAAGAAATTCAAATGAAGTGGCAGTAAGACCGAAACTTGCTTATAATTCAGAGATCCTGTCTTACTTCATCTTTGTGGTAAAATACCTGACATGCAATAGTCAACTATGTTTATTGAGTGAATCACGAATAAATACATGGCATGAGTAGACAACAAAAGCCAGTGCAATATCCTGTGTGACCTAGAATTCACCCACACACACACACATACACATACACATATACGCACAACATTGAAGAAGAAAATTGTACAAATGAATCAGGTAGAGAAAGCTGAGAGGATAAGATAAATTTTGAAGAAAGATGCAGTTGTGAATTGGAAGGAAGGAGGACATTCTAAATAGGGTGAACATGAAGAAGAAGGTACTAAAGTAAGAACATTAGTAATTTATATCCACAGGGTGATCAAAAAATTGCCCTTGCTGGAGCAAGGAGACTGTGTTTGAAACTAACTAGACAAGAGCTTTGATATATTTTGGAAAGGAATATAGTTATTGTAAGAACATAAACCTAGTTATGATGATGTTATACAAATATTGGAATAATCAAATTCTTCATCATCTTCATTATCATAGCTGGCATTTCTATAACATTATAGAGTTTGCAAAGCACTTAAAAATGGTATTGCACTTAATCCTCACAACAGCCCTGGGAGGTAGATGCTATTATTATCTCCATTTTACATAAAAGGAAACTGAAGTAGAAAGATATTAAGTGACTTACCCATGATGAAACAGCTAGAGAATGTCTGAGGCCAGATATGAACTCAGATCTTCTTGACTCTTAGATGTGTCCTATAACAATCTTAAAAGTAATCCTTTCTCATGCCCACCCAAACACTATTTATAGATATAATTTCCTATTTAAGCTAAAGTCTAACAAAAAGAATATGATGGTTCCAACACCCTTTTCACTTAATACCGTTCCAAGTATAAATAAACTCTTCTAAGTTCTCAAGTGTGGCCCTTTGACTGAATCCAAAAGGATTTGTTCTGTGAAGTTTGGATTCAGTCAGAGGGCCACACTTGAGGACCTAGAGGGCCACAGGTAGCCTCAAGGCCGCAGGTTCCCCATTTGTCAGAGATACTGCAGAGGGCAGTCTTCATTGAATGGATGGTTTTTGGACACTCTAGAAAGTGTCTTGTTTTTATGTATAGATTTATTGATAAGGATTATGTCTGATTCAGCTCTGTTCCTTTCAGCAGTTAGATATGTCTTGTGCACAGAAGGCAATCTGTGTACAAGAAATCTGGATTTTTTTTTAAAAAATGAATGAAGGGAACATGTTATGATATAATGGGGGGGAAGGATCCATTTCAGGAATCATTGGTTCTAGAAGAGTGCCATTTCCTTTCTCTGGAAACTTGGATAAGTGCATTCACTTCCAATTTCAGTTTCTTTCTCTGTAAAACTAAAGCATTAAGCTAGATGACTTCTAAGGTCCCTTCTAGCCATGCCATTCTTTGCAACTATTATCAATAATTAAAATTAAGGTAGTATTTAAAGTTGTGAAAATTATTTCACCAACTTCCCCCTTATTCTTCTAATAATCCTGTGTGGAAGGTGGATCTCCAAGAGTGGAATGGCCCACCTCCAGAGGGGAGAGGCTTCCCTCACTGAAGATTTCCAAGGTGAATTTGTCATTTGATTTTCATTTTGTTGGGTGGATTAAAATAGGCATTCCTTTTATTTATGGATTAGATTAAATGGCTGCTGAAGTCTTTCTGAACCTTTAAACTGTGTGATGTTTTCTTACTTTGAAAGAGCCATGAAGATATTTCCTCCTCTGATCAAAGTGACAACCCTCTTGCATCTTCTTATCATGTGAAGCTCCTTTCCAGGCCTCCTATAAATCTTCCATGGGAATCTATTAAACTCTCCAGGGCCTGTTGGGGCCTTTTATAAACTTCAGTGTTGCCTACATTCCTGTGGCGCACAGGAGCTGTCCAATGGTAATCCTTCATTCTCACCACCTAACCAGCTCACTTTTTCTAATTGTCCATCTCTCAGATGACATGATGCAGATAATGTTATTCCCATTTTACAGAAAAGTAAAATAAAGGTGGGAGAGGTTCATACACTGATAGAGACAGATGGGATCCACACCTAACTCTCTCTTTGCTCCAATTCCAACACTCCTACCAAGGCACTGGGCAATCTTAATATCAGTAATGTATAAGGTGATCTGAGGGGACAAGGATTGGAATTTTGGTTTCATTGATAAAGAGGATTGTCAGTTATGGAAATTCCATCTACCAATGCAAATTGGCACCTTCCCTACTAATAAAATACTAAGAGAGGCATCTGTGGTACTGAATCACATAAGATGGGATTCATACCCAGGTCCTCCTGACTCCACTATACCATACTGTTTATGTAAGTAATATTAAGGACTACCCTATATCATTAATTTCTAAGATTACTTGTATTACTAATGTTGTATTACTATATTACTAATAAGCATACCATTTTATTACTTTGTAAAATGATTAAAATGTCTTTGTATTTAGCAAGGAAGAAGAGCCCACATTTATATAATATTCAACACTCACTTCTTGTATGGATATGTCATTTTAAAAGGTCAGAATCATAGTTACAGGAATAATTAAAAAGTTTCACTGTCTCTAGAATAGAGATAGTGCATTTCTGTTTAATCATTAACCTCATTCTTTAGGGCCACATAGTAATTATCAGGAATATTTGGGCACAGTTCAACATCAGATTATTGAGGAAAGGAAAGAACAGTAGAGTCAAAAGACCTGAATTATGTTGTCCTTGATCCACCACTTATTACCTGGTTAAGGGGGAAATGACTTAACCCTTCTGGGTTCACTTTCTCCATCAATAAAATTAGTGTATTTTATTAAGCAATTTCAAAGGTCCTTTCCTTTTCCTGATTCTAAGGTTCAAACTATGGCTCATCCAGTTAGTAATGGGCTTATCTTTAAAGACACACTGTGTCAATAGTTTGCTCATCCTTGCTAACTCGTTGCAACATCTATGTTTTTTAAAAATCCCCTCCCCAAATAAAATATAAATATAATACAGGAAATTTAAGTTTTGTTTGAAACATTTGGAGGGAGAAATCCCTTATATAGGAATGGATGCCAAAATCTCATTCCCCAGAGATATAGGAGTTGCCCCAGGCTTCAGTGTTTCTTTCTAGACGAGTCCATTTCTGAACATCCAAGAGACCAGATAATAGCATTGGTCATAAATCTCCCTCGTTCTGCAGTTTTTATTCCGACAAATGTTGTTTGCACAGTCTGCTGCTTTCAGTTATAATTACTATGAGTCATCTAGAGACCAACCATCTTCTCTTCTTTTTTTCATTTACTGTTTTCATAACTTTAAAGTTGGCCAACAACTCAGAAGTGGCTTTTACGTTGCTAGGCCAAGTGATATATAAACTCTCAATTCATCAAGCACAAGTTGTTTTTCATTTATATGTTAAACTTAAAAAATACTTAGTAAACCTTAAATGTAGGCAGGTAAGTGGTACAGTGGATAGAGTGTTGGGCCCTAAGTCAGGAAGACTCATCCTGGTGAGTTCAAATTTGGCCTCAGACACTTACTAACTGCATGACCCTGGGCAAGTCACTTAACCTTGTTTGCCGTAGTTTTTTCATCTGTAAAATGAGCTGGACAAGGAAATGGTATCTCTGTGAAGAAAACCCCAAATCAGGACAGAAAGAGTCAAACACAACTGAAATATGAAAGAACAACAAAATCTTAAGCAGTTAAACCATCAAACCATCAATTTAAGAGTAGTCTTGTGTTTGCCAAGTGACTTTAAGAGAAATTCATGCCATCTTGTTTATCATTCCTTTTGTTGTTGTTCAGTTCCAATTCTAAGTGACTTCTTTTGGGGTTTTCTTAGCAAAGATACAGATTTTCCATTTCCTTCTCCAATGGATGAAGACAAACAGGTTTTAAGTGACTTACCTAAGGTCACACAGCTAGTCTGAGCCTGGATTTGAACTCAGGTTTTCCTGAGTCCAGGCCCAGCACTCTGTCCACTGTGCCCCTAACCACCCCATTCCTATTTTTTTTATACACATAGGTTCCCTTTGTGCATTGTCAGAACCCCAAACCCTGGATTATGTCTTGCTTCTTAAACACAGCATTTCATCTCCTGTCTATATGACTTTTTACTAGCTTCTCATCATGCCTGGAATGCTCTTCAGCCCCCTCTTCACCTCTTGGAAATTGTTTTCTTTCAAAATTCAGCTCCAGCACAACCTGCTCCAGAAGGTCTTTCCATTGCACCAAATAGAATGGAATCTCTGGCACAGCAAGGACTTAGCTAGTGTTGTGCTGATAAGTGCTTAACAATAAGCTCTCTCAAACACACACACACACACACACACACACACACACACACACACACACACACCCCTTCCTTAACATAGTACCTGGCACATCTTCAACACTTAATATATTTTTTAGATTGATTATCAGAGGGTCATACTCTTATTTCCTTAGCAGGTAAAACTTAGCAGGGGGTGCTATTTATCCAAAATAAAAAAAAAGCAGCAACTAAAATCTTCAATATCTAGAACTATAACTGGTTTGTGAACTCTCTCTCTCTCCCTCTCTCTCTCTCTCTCTCTCTCTCTGTCTGTCTCTCTTCCTGTCTGTCTGTCTGTCTGTCTGTCTGTCTGTCTCTCTCTCTCTCTCTCTCTCTCTCTCTCTCTCTCTCTCTTCCTGTCTGTCTGTCTGTCTGTCTGTCTGTCTTTCTGTCTCTCTCTCTCTCTCTCTCTCTCTCTTCTCTCTCTCTCTCTTCCTGTCTGTCTGTCTGTCTGTCTCTCTCTCTCTCTGTCTCTCTTCCTGTCTGTCTCTCTGTCTCTGTCTCTCTCTGTCTCTGTCTCTGTCTCTCTCTCCCTCTCCTTCTCTCTCTCTCTCTCTCTCTCTCTCTCTCTCTCTCTCTCTCTCTGTCTCTCTTCTCTGTCTCTCTTCCTCTCTCTGTCTGTCTGTCTGTCTGTCTGTCTCTCTCTCTCTTCCTGTCTGTCTGTCTGTCTGTCTGTCTGTCTCTCTCTCTCTCTCTCTCTCTCTCTCTCTCTGTCTCTCTTCCTGTCTGTCTCTCTGTCTCTGTCTCTCTCTGTCTCTCTCTCTCAGCAAATCCCTACTAGACACCTATACATGACACATGGATGATGACCCATCAGCATCATATTCTACAGGGAAAAAGTAGAATGTGTCATTTCCCTTTTAAAGCAACTCTTTTTCCAAAGTTCTCCATTTTTGTTGAATTCAAATGAGTCATTGCATTTCTTCAGAGTTCTTTTTGAGGCCTCTCTGCCCCTTACCCCCAAGTCCAATCAATTCTCTCTGTTAAATCTCTTGCATCTGTCCTCTTCTCTTCACCCAAATGGTAACCAATCTGGTTATCATTTCTTCTCTGGACTTTTATGAGAGAGAGAGAGAGAGAGAGAGGGAGAGAGAGAGAGAGAGAGAGAGAGAGAGAGAGAGAGAGAGAGAGAGAGAGAGAGAGAGAGAGAGGGCTCTCCTAGATTGATCTTCCTGCTTTCATGCTCTCCCCTCTCAAGTCTGTCCTACACACACACACACACACACACACACACACACACACACACACACACCCCTGCCAAAATAATCTTCTAAAAGCAAATACAAGTCAGATTGCTTACTTACTCAGAATCTTTCAGGAACTCCTGATTGCCTCTAGGACAAATACTAAATCCATCTCCAGCCATGTTATTGTCCATTCTGTACTATCATCCCTTTAATCTTTTAGCTAAATTACAGTGTTCCTTGAAGGCAGGAGCTTTGTTGTTCTTTTTCTTTCTTCCTTTCTTTCTTTCTTTCTTTCTTTCTTTCTTTCTTTCTTTCTTTCTTTCTTTCTTTCTTTCTTTCTTTCTTCTTTTCTTCCTTCCTTCCTTCCTTCCTTCCTTCCTTCCTTCCTTCCTTCCTTCCTTTCTTCCCTTCCTTCTTTCCTTCCTTCCATCTTTTCTTCTTCTTCTTCTTCTTCTTCTTCTTCTTCTTCTGCTGCTGCTGCTGCTGCTTGCTGCTGCTGCTGCTGCTGCTGCTGCTGCTGCTGCTGCTGCTGCTGCTGCTGCTGCTGCTTTCTTTAAGTCCCAAACCTAGCAATGTTTATTTGAAGTGAATTATCTAGGGTTTGCCCTGGCAATCATCATCAAAAGGTATTTAGCAAATAGCAACCTCCACTTGTCAGCCTGGAGAACTACCCAGCACAGAGTGACTAAAGAATTTCTGGTCCCTGGGAGTTAATAATCAGAAGCTGGAGTTGGAAATTGAAAGCTGCATTTCTGGGGTTTTGTTACCAATGATAAAAAAAAAAAAGTCATAACTGGTGGTTCTGATATATAGAGAGCCAGTAAATTAAATCCAACCTGCCCAGTTTTGACCTTGTGCCCAAATCCTATTATAGAGCTGAATTTCTTCTCTTTCCCTTCCCCCAGCAAGTGACAAAATTCCCAGAAACTTTGTTGATTTTATGTTAGTTATTATGTCACAGTCAGGATTTTTGGGCCATCATGCTTACGAATAAAAAAAATACTTATAATAATCTGATGAAAGTACAAAGAGAGGCTGTAAGAATCTGACCAGTTTGGGGTTTTATTAAATGCAACATAGAATTTTTCATGTACCTCTTCCCCACCTTTTTTTTCTTTTTAAAAACTTTTTTTTCTAGAAAACCCTGTATTTCTTATTCCTATGTGCTTAAAAGGTCAAAATACTGTATTCTCCTGGGCTTCTTAATGCCAAGCATCCATTTTAAACCTTTAATGTAAGCATTTAAAATCATTTTTTTTCTCCTCTAAAGCAGTTTTCCAAATTCTTGGTAAACTAGAGCAATCATAAATAGCTTTGAAGGCTTGGTTTCCATCCTAAGACTAAAAAGATTTAAATCACTTCATAACTTAGTGAAACACTCTTAGCTCTGCACTCTCCTTCCCCTGTTCCCTCCTTCAGACATAGTGCTGAGCTTTTTAAAGATTTCTTCCTGTGAGATCTTGTTTATAACATTTTAGTCCCACAAGTTTTCATTAATCAACTACCTTACAATACCAACCAAGGCTTCATTTTGAAACCTGTCTTCTTTCAGAGAGGTCCCCCACACTGTGTGCTTTTCTGCCCTTTTTACATTGTGGAGATTTGAGAGGTTTGCACTGCTGAAAATTTTCTCTTAACACCATTTAACTCCTAAACTGTGTTGAGAAATGAGATGTCTGATTTGGGCAGCTCTCCAGCATCTTGCTCTGTGAAGGTGGTTGCAAAGTAATTGGTAATTCGCCTATTTCAGCATGCCTCATTTCCCATTCTTGTTGTCACTTGGCCAGGCTACTTCTTTTGTTTAGGGTTTATTCACAGTGAATAGTACCCTTTTTAAAAAATCTTTACTGGAAGAAGTTCTATGCTTGCTCCCTTTCCCTCTCCAAATTTTTTTTTATTTAAAAGCTTGTGAATATCTTTTCCATTCCCCACTTAACTATTTTGCCTTTAATTCCTCCTAAATACCCCCAATGAATTCTACTTAGATAATTTCTTCTTCCTGTTGTATTTTTTTTCCCTTTTTGATTCTTGAACATTTCCCATTCCCTTCAATAATCCCCTCATGTGTAAAATGGCATTGGAGTCCACCTATTCCTTAAGGCATTTTCCTTATTGCAGGTTCTGACTCTCCAATTTAAATGCTTATAGGTCATTTTCCTGATGAGCTTTTCAGACCAGATAATATTTTTGGATCACTCGATATGGGATACTTCCCCCAACATCAATCTCATTTATCACACTAGGCTCATTTGGAAAGGAGGCCTCCAGAATTGCCTGTGGCCATGTTCCATATGCAGCAAACTGTGGCAAGAAGCAATCCCAAATTACCTGGAGGAAATAGTATTTGTTCTATGGTTATTTATTATCTGAAAGCATAATTGATGAATCCCCCAGGGTGAATATCCTGATGCTGGTACAAGTCCCCCTGATTTTTAACAGACATTTACCAATCTCCCCTTTTCAACTCCCCAAGAGATCAATAGCATTAAACAAGAATGGCTGCTTATGGTCTTGTCTTTTACTTAAATCTGAAAATGGTTCTTCTCATGGCCATTACTTTATGAATGTGTGTGTGTGTGTGTGTGTGTGTGTGTGTGTTACTCAGAAGTAGCATTCAATTTATACTCATTCTACCTCCTTACTTGTCCATTCTTACCTATAAATTCTACTTTGTGGTTTACTGCTTTGTACCTACTGTCCATTGTCTTTATTTAGAGTTAAGATGCCGAGGTTTGATCAGATTTGGTGAAGAGCTTTTGGCAAGCTTTCTGAATACCTTTCTTCCCTACCCTATCATTTCCAGAGGGTCCATCTTCACTAGTCCTGATCTGCATCTTGCCATTGGACCCACAGGACTCCAGAGGAGAAAGTGAGGTGGTTGACTTTGCACAGTCCTCCCTCACTTAAATCCAATTCATTTGCAAGTCACGGTGGCACCTTCCTGATGTTATGGTCCTCTTACAGAACTAAGGGAAAACAACCATAACAATCATTTCCAGCATTTCATTGTAATTCATATCTAGCTGCTGGATGACACTCAGTTTTATCCCTCCTGGTGAACAAAGTATCACACAGCTGGAAAGGACCCTTAGAAAACATTTGTTCTGGCAGCATAAACACCTACAAATGTATGCACAGTCAACTGCCCACTAACATTCTGTTTCCTCCTCCTTCATTTTAAAAAATAAATCACAGTGTATGTATAATGACTGTCTAACATACATCCATTCATTCAGCAATCATTGCCTCTGTGCTTAAAAGAGGGTCCCCATTTGTTTACTCCACAAAGCCTAGAGCATCTAGGTCAGGGGTGGGGAACCTGTGGCCTGGAGGCCACTTGTAGCCTTCTGGGTCCTTGGGTGTGGCCTTTTGACAGAGTCCAGGTTTTACAGAACAAATCCTTTTATTAAGGGGACTTGTTTGGTGAAGTTTAAGTTCAGTCAAAGGGCCACACTTGAGGACCTAAAGGGCAACATTCGACCTTGAAACTACAGTAGGTGATGAGGTGAAGACGTGAATGCAAATCCTGGTCCAAATACTTAGCGTTGTGAGAGTAGGCAAAACAATTTATTTATCTGTAAATTAGGGATAATATAGCACCCATCACACAGGGTTGTGGTGAATACCAAATAAAATAGTAAGGATAAAATACTTTGCAAACTTTAATGCAGAAGTTCACAAGCTTTTTGGTCTTAGAAGCTATTCAAACTCTTAAAAATTATTTGACAGGGCAGCTAGGTAGGGCAGTGGGTAGAGCACCGGCCCTGGAGTCAGGAGGACCTGAGTTCAAATCTGGCCTCAGACCAAACACTTGACACTCACTACCTGTGTAACCCTGGGCAAGTCACTTAACCCCAATTGTCTAAAAGAAAATTATTTGAGGACCCAAAAGAACTTTTATTAATGTTAATTATATCTATTAATATATACTGTACTCAAAATTAAAATTGTTACATTTTAAATGTATTTAATTCATTTAAAATAAATGTAATAAAGCTATTGTATGTTAACATAAATAGCATATTTTAATTAAAAATATATTTTCCTGAACAAAAAATAACTACTGAGAAATTGGCATTATTTTACATATTTTTGCAAATCAAATCTCTTAAATGTCTGATTCAATAGAAGACAGCTGGAATCTCTTATCTGCTTCTATATTCAATCTGTTGTGAAATGTTGTTTTGATTGAAGTATAAGAAGAAAATCCAACCCCACACTAATATTGAATTGGAAAATGGAGTATTATTTGAAATAGGTAAATAAAATCTTCGTATTATTATGAAAAGTTTTTATCTTGCTGACCCCATTGAATGGATCTTGTGACCCTTAGTGAGCCATGGATCACATTTTGCAACCTGCTGCCTCAAAATATTGTGTAAATAATAACTATTATTATTATCATCATCATCCTCATGATGTGAAAATATTAACATTACTTAATTCTCTTTCAATCAGCCATCTTTGCATTTTTATGAGGAAAATTTTAATCCTGTTCTGCCTTATTGTGCTCAGACTTTTGACACCACCTTTCTCATTTTCCCCACTTAGAAAATGCTCAGAGAATGAGATTAATTTAAATTAGCTTAAGACAAAAATAATAAGGAAAGTTAAAATATAGTGAAGAATAGCTAAGGGAGAAAGAGGAATTTACAAACCAAACCAAAGTGACTGAGGCAAGATACAGTTAAGGAATAGTTAAACCACTTCCCAGTTCCAATGACTAACCTTATATTTATGAGTCCATGGTAATTTGGTCCCCAATCTGTTCAGTGTCTAAAGCATGGTTGAGTGATTCTTTAGAAAGATGTTAGTGTTATTAAAAACGGAGTAGTACCTAAAGGCCAAGCCTGTTAAAGCTTGACCTGGTCATAAGAGCCAGACCATCCATCTCAAATGCCTTTGGCCTTCTGTATCTCAAACTTTTCACTTTAGTTTACCCTCTGTTCAATCATCATCCCTTCTTCCTTCACCCTTCACTTTAGGAATTTAGATGTCATTATTATGGACTTTCAATATATCTCTTCTGATCTTCTTATAGCTTTACTTTCCTAGTTCTCAGTAAGAATTTAGATCAGTCACTTGTCTCCCTAGTTAATAATTTCTTACATACATAACATTATTAGGGCAGCTAGGGGGGCAATGAATTGAGTGCTAGGCTAGAGTCAGGAATACCCAAGTTTAAATCTGGCCTGAGACACTTACCAGCTATGTGAACGTGGGCAAATCATTTAA